ACCTAAAACACTTGATAAAGCAAAGAATGTGAATTTTGTGGAAGACAATGACAATTATAAGAAAATTATATGATCAAATTGATGGCCTCCACCTACTTATTAATTTGCTTAATAAGGTATATTCTCAATATAATTATAATAATTTGTATTTTTTATGTTACTTTCATGTCCATATTTTATTTTACATGTATTTATTAAAAATGTAGCATAGCATGGTGTACTAGAAAACTTTAGTCCTCCAAAATAAGTCACAATTAAAGCTCAATCTCATCATTGCCACATCATCATGCATAGCAATTTTGCCATTCCTCCAACAAATTTCCATCTTAGCATTTTGATGCATACTTGAAGAATTACATTGTGCATCTCCAACATTCAAATTGATCCACATATGGTTGAATTTGACAATAATGTTCATGCCTCCTAATTATTTAGAAACCAACCCCTTTAATTTATATGATCTTTAATTTTCCTACCATATCAAATGTATGAAAATGGTACATAAGCTTAATTATATTACATTAGATCACATTATGCAGTTTAAAATAAAAACTAATGAATTCTCTTCTTAGTAAAAAAACATGTTGGAAAATTCTATGTGGTTGTTGTCATGACTCTCCTCGATCTTCCTCTTCCTTCAAAGGGATTTAGTTTATCTACTAATATAGTAAAACCTTTTATTTTAATTAATTGCTTTCATTGTTTTTTCTTCATTTTGACCCTCTTATGTTATGGAGTTCCTCTCCAATCCCATCACCCATTGCAAAGGAATTCAATCTTTGTGACCTCTCTCAAAATAGTCTAGAATTTATCTCTTTATCTTTGCACCACATTTTTAGACTTCAACAACCCTTAAAAACCCTAGCTCTTTATTCTTATGATTTCACTACATCATATTTTATCGTAGAGCCTCTCTCCCAATCCTACGAATCACTTATCCACCCTTTAAGCTCCAAACTCTCAAGAAAATCCAAAATACGCCTCCCTTATGTATTGGATTGTATTAGCGTTAAGCAATGGACAAATGCAAGAAGTTAAAAGGAATTTTTAATTAACATTTTAAACATTGTATTTACATTATCTATAAGGAATATGATTTGATAAATATGAAAATTAAATAATTTAATGCTAAGCTCCATTTTTCATCTTGAAAAGAACCCATTTTAGAAACCATGTTTGATCCTTCCATTAAAGATAATCAAACTTCAAAATTGTTAATTGATAATATTTGAACCTCCTATCTATACCCACTCAACATGCATTTACAATCCTATTATTCTTTTAATATAACTATTTCACATTAAGGTTGAAATGTTCCTTCAATAATGCCATTTTTTATTTATTTATGCACCCTACAAAGACTTCAACGCTCTTCTTTAAAGAGTTTAAGTCTTCACACAGTGAATAAAATAATGGAAAGGTTTATAAATATTTTATTTTGTTTGTTATTTGAAAATATCAGTGTTGATTTTCATTAATTTAATAAAAAAAATTTATGTTTCTTTAGGACCTTACAAAATTATGATATATCTAGGCAAATATCAAATCATTAATAAAGGTAAAATATCAATCATTTATATATTATAACAAACTATAAAGAAATTTATAAAGATTGATGCAATTGAGTTCCACAATACACCAAGGAAAAAAATGTAATGTATATGAGATCTATTTTATAGAATGTAAACTTATTTATAATACAAAATTTTTCATGTACATTTATTTCATTAGGAAGAGGTATAAGTTTCATATTGCACCTTATCATAAGGTTCGTTAGGTGGAGACTAATATTTGTGTAAATTAAACTAAATGCATGATTTTTTTAATATTTGGTGTTTGGTTGGAAAAAAATAAAGCAAACGAGGATTAAATTACATTATATTTGGAATTTCCCATATTTTTTTAATATATTTGAGATTATCCCAGTTTGACTAAATTTCACATCCATCACTTGTATGAAGCATCACTCACTACCACCAGACACTAACCATGACCTTTTATGCCAACTACCACATACCAGCTCCCACCAACCACCACCATTCGTTACCTCTGACATTGCTCAATGCCCCCTCCCCCACATCAACACTAATGACTACACTCCACCACTAGACATTGTCATTTGCTCCTATGCATCGTCAATCATGACCTACTTGTTGAGTATAGTAATTAGGTTGTTAAG